GTTTGATATCTTCATCTGAATCAGAATTGTGATCTTCTGTGTTGTTAACAGATTTTGATCCAATGATAAGTAGATTTCGTAACGTTGGAAATTCTACTGTTGTAGTATTCGGGGATAAGCTTTTTGGTTCTGAGACATGTTCCCGTTCGAACTTAATATTTATTGACTCACCAGATGGTTTGCTGCCTAAGATGATTTTGTTCTGATGGCGAGGGTATTCTTGAGTGTCTTCAACGTAGATTGAAGGGTCGTGATATGGTTCGGAGATTTGGAAAGAATGCTCCGACATATTGAAGTTTGACGGGTATGGTTCGAAGGTTTCTTCATTTTGGTCTTCTGGAAAAAGAAAAAGGAATGGTTAGTTACAAAGACTCAATTAAGAGACAATAATTTAAATTGTTTTACAGGACATCCCGATGAAGTGATAATCTATTTATTTAAGCAAGTATTTAAATGATCATTTCAAATTTGCAAAAGCAGCTGGCAAAAGAATCTAAACGGTCACCTATTTTAATGATTGATTCTCTTTCTCTAAGACAAAATATTGGCTTCAGCTGTACATATACTAACCTAACCTACTGAATGGAGGGCGCAATCAAGCTACCAACATTTATTAGGAGATCTACATCAAAAGATATACTGGTTATAAATGTCATCAATCATAAAAAGAAAATATCTATAATAAAAAAAGAGGATCAAATATTATTTTTGAATACCAAATATTAATTTAATATGCTTGAACATAGTTCAAGGAACACTATGTTCCTTGAATGCAGTTCATTTATAATTTATCTGTCGATTAAGTAATATGGATGGACAATTAATATATACAAAAGGTGTCTATCAAGTCGATGTTAAGCTGGGATGGGGATGTCAAGGAGCCCATGGTACTATAATCCATGGTAATATTCCCAACGGTTTTTTTAAATTAAATATTTTAGGCACATTACGATTTTTACGTTTTAACACCTTTGGACGTGATTGTACTCAAACATGTCTTGTTCTATCTTTTATTATCTTAAATCAACTTGCTTTTTAATGAGCTAAGTATTAAATTTCTCACCAAAAGTTATTTTAAAAATACCAAGAAGTATGAAAAAAGAAATCAATTTCTTTTTAATTACTTGAATGGGTGTGTTAAAAAAATTTAAAATGTATGACACCGCATCTGCACTTAATTCATTGCAAAAACTTGTCCACATAATGAACTAATTCCAAAAAAAAATTCATACTTTACTTTTTATTCAAAATTTCATCAAACAGGTATTTGATAAAGTGTAAAAAACCGATTTTTTTGTGATTTCGGTGTCTAAGATGGTTTGTACCACTCGTGGCGGTGGTGGTATCTAACTTCAAATTAAGGAATAAGACAAATGAAAATCAAGTTTTATTTTTTAGAACAAATTATTTTACATTTTTCACAGTAAATGTTCAAAATGGCGGTTGCCAGCTCTAATACACAACCTGCACCGCCTAATCATGGCATCATGGACTGCAGCTAGGTCGGACCGGTTACGCGTCCGGCCTACTACTTGCGGGTACGGTGCGGTACGGTGCCTGTCGCTCGCTCCTCAACCGCAGCAAACCGGTCAAACCGGTTAAAAGGCTAGTGCATTGGGTGATCTGCCACAGATGCACGCACGGTACCCTCCCTATTTTTCAGATAGACACCGGAGGTTGGTTGGTGGCCACCGCTAAGCCGTTGACTCTAAAGTCCATTACCAAATCTCCCCTTTGGTACCGGAGCTGTGTTTTTGAAGGCATGCTCTCTTCCTAACGCCGCGGCGTTTCTCGGCATCTCTCCAGTTCCCAATGACCTAAGCGACTGGAGGAGCTATGAACTAAATATCCTCTGGTTGATATTTAGCTCATAGCTCTCCGGGCTAGTGCCAAAGAAGCCAGTTGCAGTGTCCTGTGACCATGTCGAAACGTAGCTTCCGACTTAAAGTGCAACTCACGTGCCCCTTGCGTCTCCTCGCCTTATGCTTTCATCTAGACCGCTGCTAAGACGCGCTAGCTGCGCACAAGACAGACGCGCTCGTCACACACCACCGAGGTAGACAAAAATGTCCATCTCTACAGGTCACCACAAACGCCAGCGTGTCCATACCCAAGTACGGGTCCACCAAAGACGCGCGTGAAGGCGTATCACTGGCGGAGAACTTGGCCCGGACGCCCGCTGTACCCTTGTTTTGCCGGTGACCAAGTAGTTTCTCCGGAATACCTTATCTCTCGAGTTGGTAGATAGGGCTAATTTTGTATGGACAGCTAAACTTATTATTTGGCAAAAGTCGCTAGACGGAATGAAATTGTGAAATTCCATCACACACTCTCCATGATATACCCTGTAGAATACTGATAACCAGGCAGCTTTATGGTGGTGTTCAAGGCTCCGCAGCTTTGCCTCTATGATCCGAAATATGATACTTGACATGGCAACACAAATCTTCTCATCATTACCTTCTTGATCAAGATCGATGACTTCTTCCTTGATCCGGCTGAGGTCCGGGAAGATGTTCCGCAGCTGAGGGTTGTCCAGGACGTCATGCTCCTCGATGTCGATGTCGTCCGCCATTTTGGGAGCTGGAAAATAATACACTTCACACTTTGTACAGACGGCAGCACATCAAGCTACACATGCATGGATCTTGTTCCACTGCACAGGCAGCTATATTCAATCAAAAGTGTATAGCTTGGTAAGCTGTTGACTGTACATGAATAGGCTTCAAGAAAGATTTAGAAACCTGGGTTGTTCAGAAGGGATGGTTGACAAATACCCTATTCATGTTATCGTTCCAATATCATATAATAGCATGACAAAACCTTATGATAAAGACCGCTCAATGTACATCTTACATATTATAAGCGTGCCCATGATATATTACGGAAGATAATAGAGTAAATATAATGAATATAGGCAATTTTAACGTCTTAATGTAGGTCGAATTAAAACGGCACGAATACCGATGATTTCAATATAATTGCTGTAAAGTGGACGTAAGTAACGTTAAGATGCCAAATGCGTCTGAATATAGGTTACAACTTTAGATTTTATCGCATATTCAACAAAATTTCGTTAAAATCAAGCATGACAAACGATGGTAAGAGATTGTATTCATAAACTCACCTTTTTTAGTGAAAAGTCAATTGACTCATGGCTAAATCAGATTAAAAACACTCATAAAACTTAGTATTTACGCGAATTTTTACTTAAATTCATACAGAAAGAACAGAAATTGAAATTATTACAAGAAAAACGATATTTTGGACCATAGCCAGCAGAAGTTTTTAAATCACAGAATAGAAAAAAGAACCTACCGTTCACGTTAAAAGCATTAGTTGCAGAACTCGGTCACGACCAATGATATATGCTCACTGGTCACGACCACACTTTGAAAATTTAGTTTATGAAACAAAAATAAACACTACGATTTCTACTGAAAACTTAAAAATATGCAATAAACAGCCAAATATAAAATAATAAAAATGTCTGTCGAGGTCAGTGTTTAGCGAGATGCGAAGCTTACCTTCACAGCTGCATGCAACGAATTATGCTGATGCACAATCCACAGCTAACGGGACGTAGTGAAGTGCTGCCGCCACAGAACACTCAGCTGTCCCTCGACGCATCTTTCCCCGTACGGGGTTTTGAATGCGACAAAGTTGGATCGTCGACAAATAACGCACACACTCAACATAGCCTCGCACTAGGTGTCGCGGGTGCCATGGACACACACATAGACAACCACAAATTATACCCAAACTCACGAGAGAAATAATTGTAGGCCATACAACTATTTCTCCCGGCCCGGGAATCGAACCTGGGACCTCTGCGTGGCAGTCCGGCATGGTATCCGTTCGGCTACGGAGGCAGTTATGTAAACAGTTAGTATGAAAACATGTCGCAACTACGAGAGCTAAATTAGCTTATATTCGTTAGCAATGTGTGCTATTGGTCTTGTGTATGAGTGGACGGTGGACATTATTTTTAACCGACTTCAAAAAAAGGAGGATTTTCTTTTTCTTTTTTTGTATGTATTTTACGCGATAACTTGTGAATCGATTTTTATAGAAAAGTATTTCAAAAATATCACAAATATTCAGTCAGTTTCAGCTAGTTTTGACTAGCGATGGGCGAGTCGGGTTATTTAACTCGGTTAACTCGAGTTACTCGTGTAACGGTCAACTCGAGTTATTTTTTCATAAACTCGAGCTAACTCGGTTCACCCGCCCCGCCCGCCGCCGCCGAGCCGAATACTTCATACATACAACGCGTCGGTCGGTGACCTTCAGAGCATGCTCGAGTCGAGTTATTTAACTCGAGTTACTCTCACAACGAGTCAACTCGAGCTACACTTTGTGAACTCGAGTGAGCTCGGTCGGTCCGGTGACCTTCGTTCGGTCACGCTCGAGTCTCGGTCGGCCGGCCGATCGTGTCCAACTCGGTGAACCGTCGTCGGTTCGAGTTCTACTCGCGACTCGCGGTTGCTCTGTCAAACACCGAGTCGAGTTAACTCGAGTTAGCAGTCAAGTCAACTCGAGTAACTCAAGTTGAAACAAATACAACTCGTGCCATCGCTACTTTTGCTATTGGCTGTGTTTGAAATAGAAGGCGATTTTGGGCTACTTAATAAAATATCTGGGGAGCTACAAATTTTATTGGGGATTTTGTGCGGAATGGAGTTGTAAAATAACTCATTTGGGGGTTTGAATATTTCTACATGTGGGGAATTGGGGAAATAATAGAGTTTATATTCCCCAATGTCCGGCAGCAAGCAGAATTGGTTTTCTTGAAGGGATTTTATGGGTTTCGCATTCGCAAAAGTCTGGCAACACTGGATACGAAAGTCAGGCGTTGACGCATTACAGCAATTTACTGTTTTCGTTATTTTACGGAGAAGTAGTCGCTAATCAATCTAAAACAACATGTTTAAACGAACTCGAGAAATTATACGAGTACCAATGAAAGAGAATGTTCAATCAATAATACCAAAGACTTATAAATGTAATATTTGCAAAGAAGGTTGGCAAAGTGAAACCGATGTGGAATTTCATCGTCGCGAAACTCACGCGAAAGTAATGAATAAAATGTTGATTAACAACGTAAAGCCTATTTGTATGGTAAGTAATAAATATCTGCCATCCACTAACTAAAACAAAATATTTTTATAAAAAACCGTAACCCAGTTTTAGGACATTGAAATTGTTTAATATTTCAGCTCTGCGTCGTTAGGGTAAGTTCCGAACACGTTAACTAATTTTAACTGTTTAAAAGAGAATTTTGTGCTCTATCTAGCAAACTATTTAAAACGGATGTTTGACTATTTGTCACTTACCTGCGTTTTAGTCAGTGGACGGCTGATATCCTCCTCCGTCGGTCCATCATTGTTGTGGATTGTGACTTTCAACAAGTGTAGAGGTTCTTGTGAAAGAGTTCGTCCAGGGATATACCACCTTCATTGACTTACAAATAAATGGACGACGGGTCTAATACAAAAACTACGAAAAAAATGTCCCAAGTCAACCTATTTAAACGTAGTGACATGTAAAGGAATATGAAAAAGCTAAAACGTTGAATTTAAATTGTAATGTCATCGCAGTACTGTCTAATTTTGCTTGCTTCACTGTCAGAAGAAACAAACGAAGACTAAAGCGTGAATGACGCTCTGTATACGATTTTAACGCCCTATAAGTTCGGACACCTTTTAGCGCGGACCCGACGTCCATAGTAAGTCAATGGCCACCTTACCTATTTCAGTTTCAGTTTTGAAGGGTAAAGGCGATGGCGAAATTGCATTATTAACAGTAGAGCTTCTTCTTTTTAATCTTATTTTAAATAAGGCCTGTAACACTTGGGTTTCAATGTCGGCCTTGTGATGTCAATCCCTGTGGATTATTCTACTATATCATGTCACCTCGTACTAAGAGACAAGACCTCACATATGAGTATAGAGTTGTAGCCCTCTTCGCCAACGGTTCACCCAACATGACATTTAATTGCCCAACTTGCTAAATATCATAATTGAAATTGGCTTCTCAGAGCCACATTTCATTAAATGTAGCATATCTTCAAGTTTTCTTGTGAAAGTGTTTGTCCAGGGAAGCACTGCCACCTTACCTATTTCTGCCGCCAAGCAGTAATGTCAGCATTATTGTGTTCTGGGTGCTGGTGAAATTACAGGCACATGGGACTTGTCAACTTATGTCTCAGGGTGAAAGACTGCGCCTTTCATAATATATAATAGTACCCCTCTATCTTTGTGATTTTTTTAATTTATTATTAATAGGTGAGCAGCTTGAAGCTGATATGTCTATATCAAATCTGTATTAAATTCATATGAAGTCCACGAATTCACAAGTAGTCCTGAATTTTTTTGTTAAAGTCCACAAAACACTGGATGAATTTAAAAGACCTAGAAGACACAAATTCTTCTTTTTTAACCAGCTGTCCAGCCGGTTTTTGAAAGCGTTCACTGAGCTAGGATTAACCACGTCCTCAGGCAACCTGTTCCACTTTGTAACCACTCTGTTTACTTACTTAACTTACAATCAGGTGCACCACTTGTTTGCCCCGTCACTTGATATTATAAAAATAAATAAAAAAACAGGCACTTGTCAACTTATAGCACCCTTTACTCTCATTCTCTGTCCGAAACAATTTTTTTTTTTATATATATAATAGACACACGCTTGGCCACAATCTCACCTGATGTGACCGACGATGGGACGCGTTTGCCTAAAAAATGCCTATTCACTCTAGCCTTGAATAGCCCCAAATTACTATCAAATAAGTTATACATAGGAAATGAAACTATTTTTCCGGATTTTAAATCCGGAAAAATAGTTTCATTTCCTATGTGTAACAATCGCGAAAACCTAAGAACGAAATAAGTTATACTCAATACAATTAAAAGACGCCTGGTGAGAATGAAGCCTCATACTTGACATTGTTTTTTGATTTGGTTGAGGATTACTTATAATAATAAACTCATTTATTTGTCTTGAAAACAGTAATACATTTTATAATAAAATCAGAGACAGTGTTAATTAACAAGACAAAACGGTCTATGACTCAGCAGTTGCGGGGAACCCACGGTCTCTGTTATTCTGTCATAACCTTGTTGAAGTATTGTAATTCAATATTTATTTTAGGACATCGAGACTGAAAGTAGGTATCGTTAATAACATATTTTATTTGAAAAAAATGGAAACTTATAATAATTAACCCTATTAATATCAATACATTCCAAGCGCAAGAGCCTGCTGTGCAAGTAGCCATTCGCGACAATATCCACGAAAAGTTAAAAGTGTATGATTAAATTGTATTTTACGGATAGGTGGAGGTAGATCATTCCAAATTTTAGCAGAAGCGTCACTTAAAGCGTACTCAACCTCTTGTGGCTTATTTGACAGTAATTATTTTTTTTCCTTGTTCCGCATGGGACAGGTAAAGATCAGACACCATAGTACCTAGTCATACCGAAGAAAAAGAGTGTCAGTATTTGTTTCGAATAGATGTCGGACAGAGAATGGAGGTACCAAAGGTATCTAAAACGTGTCAAATGTCAGTCTCACTTCTAAAGCTTGTACCAAATTGTTTTCGTAAAGATTTTCTTATTTTGGAACCTGCTTTAAAAAACGATGTGTTACAGATATGCATAAAGAACCTGAAAACACCAGAAAACCTTCTCCGTCACATCAAAACGGTGCACCTGCTAAGTTCCGAAGACGCAACTCGAATAGAACGAGAGATATTAATTTGCAACGAATGCAGCAAAATCTTCTTCAACAGACGAATGATAGTCGTTCATATGGCAATTAGACACCGTAACGTGCGGTCTAAAAAACAGCGCATTGAATGCCCTAAATGTTTGAAAATGGTGCGATGCAACACGATCTGGTCTCATTGTCAATTTGAGGATATTTTAAGCGTCGCCTGCTGCCCAATCTGCTTAACCAAATTCACGAACACCGCTGAGATGCAAAGTCATATATTAACACATCCGAATTACTTCTACTGTAACATATGTACATACAGCACAAAATCGGCAATGAATTTCAAGGAGCACGTGTCAAAGTATAAAAACAGGTTTAAACATGTTGGCAACGTGGACAAGGCGAAATTAGAGCAATGTTTTGTATCAAGCGTACGCTACATGCAATGGCGGATATTAAGAATGAGTTCTTTTAAGGGATTAAATTTACCACCTAATATAAACATTTGCGTTCTCTGTCGGGAGATTTGTAGAAATTCAGAAGAAATGAAAAAACATTATCTTACACATGTGCATGTGGTGGAGGAGCGGGTGGAGAAGAAAAAGTATGTTTGTACATGTGGAGAAGAATTTTTCAACAGTGTGTTACTGAAACATCATGTTTTCAAAATGCAGGGTGAACATAGGGCGCTGTGATATTTGTTTAACTAATAAATGCGGTAAGTATTCTCTGATCGCCACCAGACCGGTTCGTCGGTGTAACGTGGTCCGACTACATTATGTAAAAAGTCGTCGGCTGCGTGTGTAGGTCTGTGCGTACATTTTTATTTGGTATAAATTAGTATGATAATTAAAACAAAGAATGACCATGTACAAAATTTTTTTCGCTCCATTGGGACTTGAATCCACGCCCATGCTGTACCGTAGCATTCCGCTTACTAACTGAGCCACAGGTCATATCGCACCCTTAGTAATATAAGGGCACAATCCAAAAAAAGTAGATTTTTGGGAAATTTGGGAATTGATAGGGACTTAAATAATAAATGGGATCAAACTTAAATAAAAAACTTAAACTTATGGAATTTATTTATATTATTTATTTTTCTTATTGCTATTTATAATACATTTATCAAAGAACAAATCTGCCAAATTTCATATTTATAACTTAAATAATAAGCATGTTATTTGAAAAAATAGGTGTAATGTAGGAATCCAGAATCTTAATACGCGATTTCCCAAAAATCTACTTTTTTTGGATTGTGCCCTTATATTACTAAGGGTGCGATATGTTCAATTAAGTGTAAATCATGCATGTAACACGTGTAGCTGGGAAAGAATCCGATCATAGTAAATTAAAAAATCGATCACCCTAATGGGAAAATCGATCACCGTAATGAAAAAATCGATCACCGTAATGAAAGAAACCGATCACCGTAATGAAAGAGATCGATCACCGTAATGAAAGAAATCGGTCATCGATTCCGTTAACCGATTTCAATTAAAACTTGGTAATTATATGTAATTCCACGTACTTTTGAGGTCGGTTTTTTTAGTACTCTGTACTGAGGTTATTAAGATACGTGTTTGAGAAAGTAAGGCGTCAGAATGAAAATAAGTTTTTTGTGTAGTGACGTTATCAATCTCAGTGTGCGATATGATGTATAACTCCAGCCTGTCCCCCACTGCGATATAATTTTTAAACTTCAAAAAAGGAGGAAGTTTTCAAATCGACTGTGTGTTTTTTTTGTGTGTATGTTACGCGATAACTAACGTCATTGGTGAACCGATTTTGATGATTCTCTTTTTGTTGGAAAGAGGAAACCTAAAAAGCGGTCCCATTTAAATTTGATGAAAATATTCCAACTCTAAGGGTGGCAAACTATACGATGAATGACTTTTGAGGTCGGTTTTTTTAGTACTCAGTGCTCATTATAATTATCTTTAATAAATACCAATTAACCATTATTCCATTGTTACATAACGATGTAAAAGAAAGATGTATATTTATGTAAATTAGGGACATAAGAGATTATTGTAAATAAATACATATTTTGAAAAAGCTCTTTTATTTTAGAATATAGGTAGATTATATAAATATTCCCAGGTGTCCTACGTCCAGTGGCGGATTTGCAGTTTCAGCAGTCCTAGGCCCCAGGCCATGCAGGCAGTACCAGCTGCCCCTTTCTCAGCACTCATCATATACTAGCAGACTACATAATGAATTTATTGACAACTTTTATCGAAATCTATTCAGAAATTTACTATTTAATATTTTTTTAAATTTTAATATTTTTCTAGAACATTGATTTGATATATCGTGAACTGGCAACCGGTACGCGTTTGCGTCATTTATAATAGCATCAGCCCCCGTTAATGACGTTATATGTTTAGACATTAATAAGTTCGTAAGGAACTTGAAACTTTTTGAGGATAATTTCCTTTTACCCATAAGGTATCTGAGACATATAGCTAGTGTGCTATCTTTTAATGTTAAAGACGCTGTTACAGAAGATATAACACAGTTTCACGACAATGCTCCTACTTTAAGTAGCAACAGTATACTTTTTACTAACCATAATTTAAACTGAAAAACACGACAACAGAAAAGTCTAATTGTTTGTTGTAGTACATCAAAATATTCAAGGCTTTTCTGGCAAAACATTAGAAATAAGTCTTTTTTTGCACGATATTTCCGTTGACGTGTTTTGTGTTACAGAACACTGGCTGAAAGACTACGAAGCAATTAACAACATAGAAAATTATGTAATAGTCACTTCGTTCATAAGAAAGAGCTTAAGTAGAGGCGGATCCACGATTATTATTAAACGAAACTTAAAATTTAAAGAGCGTAAGGTTATCACAAATCTATCTACTGAACGAACTATTGAGATTTCATGTGTGGAATTGGATCAGTTTGTCGTCGTATGTGTATACAGGCCCCCCTCTGCTAATTTTAACGAGTTTGAATTAATTATTGTAGACAGTTTAAAGCGGACTTTTCCAACCAAAAAAACGTAGTCAAGATTTCAATGTAAACCTGCTGGAAAACTGTTCTACTTCTGTAAGACTCATTAATTTATTAAAAAGTTTTAACTTGATTAATCTTTTCTTAGAACCAACTCGCATTACTGCCTCCTCTCCTACTTGTATTGATAACATCTTTTGTAACACAGACGCAGTGTCTAAATCAATAATAAATTGCTTAAGATCAGACCATAGTGACCAATTGGCTTCTTTTAATTGTAAAATGAGCAAGAAGGTAGACCAATTTCTCTGCAGACCGATTACCACAGAACGAATCATTAGATTTCAAAATAATATCGGCAATAGTTTAAATTCCCTACCCCATATACCGGAGCTTCCAAATACTTTATATAGCACGATATTTGGTTTAATTAAAACTGAATTTGATAACATATTTAAATCGAAAACATTAACTTTCCATAGAGAGACTAAATTCAACGACTGGGCAACAGTAGGTATTCATAAGAGTAGGTCTCGTTTGTATGAGCTATATGCTATGAAAACTTATAATACTAATTCCAATTTCATAGAATATGTTAGAATTTATTCAAAAATATTTAAAAATGTTTGTGTAGCTGCTAAAGTTAAGTTTCACAGCGACAAAATTAGACAATCGATAAATAAATCTAAAACTACTTGGAGCTTAATAAATAAAGAGTCAAGCAGGGTTAAACAACACGATAGAGATATACTTTTAGAATTAGACGGTAAAGTTATAAAATCTAAAGACAAGGTAGCCCAAGCTTTTGAATCGTTTCTTTTCGGAAATTGCTGTGAACACTACAGAATCATTAAATTCCTCCCCTTCTCTTGCTATTGATCTCCTAAAGGAAAATGTTAACGTTGGTGGCAGTTTATTTAATTTTCGTCATGTTAATCCACAAGACATCATAAAAGCTTTTAAGTCAATACATGTTAAAAAAACTGAAGATCTCTGGGGCATATCAACTAAAGTTAAGACTCAGTTATTAATCTCATTTCCCCACAGTTAGCTGTAGCTTTCAATAGGTGCGTTGACGAAGGTGTTTTTCCCGATTTAATGAAATACAGCAAGGTTATTCCCTTATTCAAAAGCGGTAGGAAAGTTGATCCTAGCAACTATAGGCCCATTTCAATTTTACCAGCTTTAAGTAAAATATTCGAAAAGGTTATGCTGACTCAATTACTGTCCTATTTCGGTAGGAATCATATTTTTCATAGTGAACAATACGGGTTTACTAGTGGTAGATCGACTGGCGATGCGGGGGTAGCGTTACTAAAACACATCTTAGATGCTTGGGAAAGGTCCCAGAACGCTATTGGTGTTTTCTGTGACCTCTCAAAGGCATTTGATTGCGTTGATCATAATACTCTTATTAGGAAGCTGGAACATTACGGTGTAAATGGCAAGGCGTCAAAACTTGTCTCGTCATATATCAACGGCAGAATTCAGAAAGTAGACATAAATGGAGTGACTTCACACCCAAAGGGGTTCTCCGGTAAAAATGGGTGTTCCGCAGGACTCAATAATTGGACCTTTCTTATTTCTGATTTATATTAATGATCTGCCACTCTTTGTTAAGGAGCATTGCGAAATAGTGTTGTTTGCTGATGACACATCCTTGATTTTTAAAACAGACAGACATGACATTAACTATAACCATATTAATGGTAGCCTCTCTAAGGTAGTTTATTGGTTTAATGTTAACAATTTATGAAGACAAAATGTGTTAAATTTGAATTGCCTAACGTAAAATCGACTAGTCCAAGCATAGAAATAAACGGAGAAAAGTTAGACCTTGTTAATAAAGCAGTCTTCTTGGGAGTGACCTTAGACAGTAAACTTCAATGGTTTCCACATATATCTTCCCTGGCCAGCAGATTAAGCTCCGCTGCATACGCAGTCCGCAGAATACGTGAGCTTACCGATGTTAGTACTGCTAGACTAGTTTAGTTTAGTTACTTCCATAGTATAATGTCCTACGAGATTGTAATGTGGGGTAAAGCGGCAGATATTCAAACCATATTTGTATTGCAAAAACGAGCGATTCGTTCTGTGCACCGTCTAGGCTCTCGGGTTTCTCTCAGAGAAAAGTTTAAGGAGACTGGTATCATGACTGTGGCATCACAGTACATTTACTCAAATATTTTATATGCCCGTAAAAATACTTATACATAATTTCAATAAGAAAGAAGCTATCCATAATATTAAACTTAGAGAAGTCCAAAATCATGGTACCACGATTTCGTTAACCAAGGTAAACAACTCGTTTATGGGGAACTGTATACGTTTTTACAATAAGATTCCCGAGCACATATTAAGTTTATCACATTAAAAATATTTTGATCGAAAAATCACATTACAAAATTGAAGACTACGTGTTAGATAAAGATGTATGGAAAGACGACATGGCTCCAGAATCCACACAAATTTGATTCGAAGTGTATTCCATAGCATTTAAGTTTATTTGGAAAGAGCAATCCCCAGAGTTTCTTGCTCGTTCTTCTCAGGGAGGTCAGCGTAGTGAACGAGCAGTAGCTTAAATGTTACGTTTTCAAGTGTAAATTTATTTTACCTATGGAATAAATAATCTTTGACTTTGACCGTAGCATGGCTGCGCATAATAGTCGCGACGAGCGCGATAAAATTGAAACAAGCGCGCGCTATTGGCTATTTAAATTAGATCTGATTGAGACGGCCAATAGCGCGCGTCGGGACTATCTTGCGTAGCCATGCTACATGGGCTGGTTTATTAAATAAAAATACGTAGTTCTTACAGCAGGTTGTACAAGTGCATAAAACGCGTCATTTTACCGAGACGAGTATATCCATATATATATATGGATACTTAAGTCGAGGGCAGAATGGGTTTTATGAACGAGTTATACACTGCTTTTCACTTCGATTGCGAGGAAATTAAACAGCGATATTACAAATAAACGAT